TTCCGGATCATATTCTGCGCCCACTGCGTGAGTTTGAGATGATGGACGATGTCCCACTCTTCACTCATGAGGAGCTGGAGACTGCCGTTTTATCCCTAAAAAACAACAAGGCTCCTGGACCTGATGGGGTACCTGGCGAGGCTCTTAAGAAGGTTTTTTCAATCAATCCCCTGATTCTTCTGAGCATGTACAACGCCTGCCTAGCAGAGGGGGTATTTCCGTTGTGCTGGAAAAAAGCTAGGCTCGTGCTCGTAGGGAAGGGGAAAGGAGACCCAGAATTGCCGTCCTCTTACAGACCCCTTTGCATGTTGGATACGGCTGGGAAAGTCCTAGAGAAGTTGATCCGTTCCCGACTGAATTATGCCGTGGTTGCTGCGGGGGACCTGAGCCCTCGCCAATACGGCTTCAGGAAGGGGCGATCAACGGTCGACGCTATTGAGGAGGTGAAGCAAGCCGTGATGAGAGCTGAGGATTTTAATCACTACTCTCGTAGGGTTGTGCTGCTCGTTACACTCGATGTGCGAAACGCATTTAATTCTGCAAGATGGTGCGATATGCTGGACGCTCTGGAGAACAACTTCCACGTCCCGGCATACCTCATGCGCATTATAGAGGATTACCTCCGGTTCCGCCTCCTCATGTATGATACTACAGAAGGCCCGCGGACGATGAGTGTCACTTCTGGTGCTGCCCAAGATTCCATACTCGGCCCGGACCTCTGGAACGTTGCCTACGACAGCCTCCTTAGGTCTGAAATGCCTGAAGAAACCGTTTTAGTTGGGTACGCAGATGACATTGCAGCTTTAATAGCTGCTCGTAGTGTTGAGCTGGCCCAGCTAAAATTAAACCGAGTCATGCGAACTATAAACGCATGGATGGCAGATCACGGTCTCTCACTAGCGCTGAACAAAACTGAGATCGTGATTCTGACCAAAAAGCGGATTGACACCATTGTGCCGTTGAGGGTGGGGGACGTCGAAGTCCAGTCCGTTCGTGCCGCCAAGTATCTTGATGTCATGGTGGACTCTAAGCTTAGCTGGCGAGACCAGATATTCCGAACGGCGGACAAGGCCGCTAAGGTGATCTCTTCTCTTAGCCGGTTAATGGCCCATGTCGGAGGTCCTCGTTCCAGTCGCAGAAGGCTGTTGATGTCTACAGTTCAGTCTGTGCTCCTGTATGGTGCGGAGGTGTGGGCAGACGCGCTCAATAAGGAGGTGTATAGGATGCGGCTTGCGTCAGGCAGCACTCAGGGTAGCATCCGCCTACCGAACAGTGTCTGAACCTGCCATCTTGGTGGTTGCTGGAGTAATCCCCGTCAAACTTTTGGCGGCGGAGAGGAAAGCGATTTATCAGCGGCGTGGAGAGGACCATGCAAAAATGGAGGAGCGCAACCGCACCTACCAGCTCTGGCAGGAGAGCTGGGAACAGGATTCGCGGGGACGCTGGACCAGGAGACTGATTCAGCAAGTCCAACCATGGGTTGACCGACGGTATGGTGAGGTGGACTATTACCTTACCCAGTTTCTGACAGGTCACGGGTTTTTTCGGTCGTACCTGTTCAGGATGGGCAAAGCCGTGTCACCCGATTGCATCTACTGCCCAGGCACTCCCGACGACGCGGAGCACACCTTCTTCCGCTGCCAGCGTTGGGAAGGTTCCCGCCTGGAGGCTGAACAACATGTAGGGCAGTTGTTGGTGGACACGGTCATTCCGATGATGACGGAGGGTGAGGACAATTGGACCTGTATGTCACATTTCGTCCAGGATATTCTCCGCACAAAGAAGCTAGAGCTTGACCGAGATACGGTCTAGGTCATAAAGAAATTGAATGCCAGAAACGGCGCGAGCCCTGAGGGCTTAGGTCACACGTTGACCTGACCTGAAGTAATGTGACAAACAATCCCAGGTCTGTGTCCAACAGAGTAGAGGGGGTTTTTTAGTGAGTAGTCTGACAAGCTCAGGAGTCTCACACTACAGGCTGGCTACCTGTGTGCGTAAAAGCATTTTTACCTCCTCTCCCTTATAAAAAAAAACCTGGAGGTTATCAAGGTATTAAAATACTAAACTCAATAATATGTTGTTTAGGGAGGATACATTAATTTGTATAAGTCGATTGATGAATGTATCTTCTATGAATATACTAACTATAACTATGAATATATGTTCATAAGATTTTGAACATCCTATTATCATTTTAGGCTATTGACATTTAGACAAACAATGTTGATTATATATTACAGCAGCAAAACTTAGGAGCTTGTTAGAACAAATTTTATATTAAAATAAGTTCATATTAAAATCTGAAACTAAACTGTATGACAAAAATCCTTTTTGAATTTTTGGATTAACGTTTATAAAAGTATGTTTTCGCCACCAGGAAATTCGGATCTATGGTTTTTGGATCATCAAAGGATATCCGCAACAACTTCGATATTGATATCTCTTTGTGACAAAGTTAGCGAACTATCTGGGTTAAGCTTCTGGTATGGCACTCGACTTAGACAATTTATGCGGTTTTCAACTTATTTCCTATAAAATCCGCAGCAGAATAAGCTTGCTTATTCTATATATCAATAAGCAAGCTTGTTTCCTTAAAACTTTTTTTCTCAGCTCGTGTGCATCGCAGGGAAATGTAGGCATAAAGTTAAAAAGATATTTCCGGTAGATGTGCAGAATCACTTTATAAATTAAAATAGGCTCAAAAATAAGCACAAAAAATGAATTTTAAATTTGAAAAAAATTACATGGGTCTCATGGGTTGCAAATCTGGTGATTAATTAACATCGAAATTTAAACAGAAAATCAAAACAAATGTAAGTAGTTCCAATAACATTTTTTATTTAAAGTGTCTGGTGAAAATAGAGAAGTCTGTAGAGTACATTTTTTTGGTCGAGTTTTCGACCACTAGACGACCTCTAGTATACAGTAAACCCAAAACTATTTAAATCGAATATTGTAAGGTTGATTATTAAAGTTAGTCCGACATTAATATTTACAAGGCAGCAATATATTGATCTCATGGACTGTTCTAGGGAAACTATTTATAAGCTGTAGGCCTATTGTTAGTTTAAAAGCTAAATAAGTTTGTCTTACGGTCACTATATCGTTTTGCATTCAAGTTATTTTTTTTTTTTTTTGTTTTTACAAGTTTGTAAATACCTGAGCTACTAAACTAGTCAAAATTGTAAAATTGCTTTATTTGTTATTCACAACTGTCTTACATTCACATGTCGAGTGTTAGCTTGATTATTGTAATTAACGAATTGTTATCTTTTTACGTAAACTAGCACTTGCATCTGCCTTATGATTCACAATGTAAACGGTGTTCCGTATGAAATAAATAAGTTAACAAAAATATTTAACACGATTTACAACTCTTTCAAACTTCACCTCACAAACTTTTACTTTCAATCTTAACTAGTAAAATCCATTTTGTAGTCAAATGAATACTTTGTACTACCAAGGTTGGAATAGGAGGATGTTTTATATTATTTATTTTCTCCCGTTCAAAAACAAACTAATTCGCATTATTTGTAATAGACTAATTTATAATTCAAGATGACTACAACTTAGGATCAAGCCTAACATGCAACTGGACTTTATATCTTAATTATAATTAGTAAGAAATAAATTAACAAAAGCTAAGATCTGTTCGAATATAAGACTAACAATAGATATAAATCGGCGTTTGCCGTAATTTTATCACTACTAAGACTTCATCACTGATGTATATTATAGCTGATGGTATTATACTGACATAAAATAACGTCCAAATAAAGGTCCAAATTGTTTAACTGTAAGTGCATCTTATAAAATCTTACTAAAACCAGATCTATTTATAAGTAATGACACTTATCTATCTATATATATTTTATAGTTTCAGTATCGTTCAAAGAAAACTTCAAACATCGGCTTCAATCTATTTCCACAATCATGATCAGTAAATCCCGTACTACAGTATTAGGAGCGATATCGTTTAATGTTCTGTAATTAGGCTAATTGAAATCAAGCTCTATCAATATACGTTTATTTTCCGCTTATATATTTTGGGGAATTGTATCTATCCATCCTTCAACTACGTAGGCTATTCCTATTGTCTATCACTAGGTCTAAATATAATTTAAATGAACTAATTGTTATTCGTAAATAAATGTTTAGCAAATAAATAGTTGTGAAAGAACTAATTAGGTGTATTTCTATCAAAGTGGTTAGCGTCTCGGATTCAATGAGAGGGAAATGATTTCTATTCCCAGCATTTAACTTAATAAAAATTAGTAACCGCTTTTACTCAAATGTATATTGGCTTACTTCTTTGGATATTTCATCAGCGTATACACAAAAAATACTGTTCGAGTAATTGTAAATAAATAGGCTACCTTGCAAAATACATCGAGGCGGAACAACATTAAAGTTTAATTCAACATAGTCTCTTTATTATACTATTATTACTTTACAATGAGTAAAGGGTACAGAAAGTTGTAAATAATATTACAATGAAAAATGTTTAAGGGGCATATTGTTAATTTAGGAGTTTTAACAAATATTTGTATTTTTTATCAATTACAGTGCTCAAGTTATAAAGGACTATATTTTATCGTACACATTGTTAACTACTTCATACCATACCAATGGGTTTCTCTGATGAAAATATGGCCAACCGTACCTAAATTACGCTGCTGAATTAATTAAGAACAACCGAAATTGTTCCAAAATTGAGTTATTTTATCATCGTTTGATGGTTAAATGATGTTGCCTGAAACCTCAACAGTAACCTTCGATTTCAACGGGTTTCGCCTAATAAATACAAAATAATAAATATCTGTAGCTTAAAAATCTTAATAAAAATTAATAATAAAATACCAAACAAAAATGGTAAGTGCCCCTAAAAGTGAATATCTCGCAAAACAAATATTTTGATCAAAACTTAATACTCTACATCATTAATTAAAAGTTACCATTATTATTAACATTGAAAGTAATTATTAATATGGTTTACTTACCTCAGCAATGATGCCTTTAAGCTGACACTACCTCATGTGTACTGATCAGCACCGTACTGACTATCAACTGACACTGAGGTACCTCAAGTAGGCACTAGACAGGTAGCGCTGTCTTACCTTGCAACTATAGTAACAACATTATGTTAAAAGGCCAAACCCATTCACCAATTCTGACCCACTCACAAAAAAACCGTTTTCCGAGTTCAAAAGTAGGCAATGCCTACTAATTTCATGAGTCTAAAAAATTGACGACTTGCATCTTATTAACTTCTGGCAAAAGAAAGCCTTACTGTATGAAAACAACCATTTAAAAATTATTCTCACTAGCTGTTACCTACGGGTTTCGCCCCGTTGACTTCATTTGACTTTATAAGTATTAATAAAACTATTGATTATGGTTAGGTTAAGTTGAAATAAACAAGAATACAGTAATACAAACAAATAATCACACCTGATTTTACTAAGGTAATACCTACATTGAAAGAATAACAAACAAATAAGTACAGCTGAGGTTTTTTAACATTAGGTACATGGAAAGTTCCCCCCTGCACTTCTACAGGTAATAGTATATTACGTTACTAGTCCTGAAAATTTGTGTTTACTGGACGAGTGTGGTTGTTCCCGTGCGAGACGAAGTCGAGTACGGGATTACCATACGATACGAGTCACATTTTGGACGAGTGACGTACGATATTTTATGCCATACTACTAAATCCGTACACAAATCCTTATATATTACAACCGACTAAAGGATTAACAATCACTAGCGGTGGGGCACACGGAAGATTTCTCAGGTCCCGTTTGATTTCACTAACTTCTGACGTCAGTAACTGCTGCGTCTGAAGAAACAGACAATTTTATAATTTTTCTCTTATTAAATTAAACTGTCATAACCTAACCAAACGTGCTGATGATGAAAAAATCGAATGAGAATGAAGGTTTACTAGGTAATCTAAAAAATAGTTTTGTTCATAAAATAAAATTATAAGTAAATGCCTTAAATTCAATTTTTTATTATCAAATTAAACTGTCATAACCTAACCAAACCAACCAAACTTGCTGATATGAAAAAAATTATTGACAAAAAGTGAGTGCTATCAGCGGGATTCGAACCCGGTACATTCGGATTATCAGCCTGACACGCTATCCCCTACACCACCGAGGCCGATGGCTCCAACCCGTATCGTTGCGGTAATGGTGTTCCCTCAAAGTGACGTCAGCAGTTGTGACGTCAAACGGCACCTGAGTAATCTTCCGTGTGCCGTTTTGCAATCACTAGTCATAACCTCTTAGAGAGGTTATGTTTTTGTTTGTAAACTAACCATGAAGAGCTTTCATTCGTTGCCAAATACAGTAAATAATCAGCTGGCTGGTGTCCGGGAAAACTCATTACAGTACAGTAGTACGTAATGAAACCCCATTTGATTAAGCTGATGGCAAACAGCTGTTTTCTGGACTAAATCCTTGCTTGGGAAGTTCGTCAAAACAGTTTAGTGTGGCGTAAACATCTTTCTAACAGTATGCGTATTATTTTCCTTGTGATGCACACGAGCTGAAAAAAAGGTCCCAAAGAAACATGCTTGTATATTAATATATAGATTAATAGAATTGCTGGGTGGAAACAAAGACAGAAGGTTATAACTTGAGTTTCAAAAAGCATATCTTCTTTAGTAAATAACATGTTGCTTATCAAACAATAGTTTATGGTTCATGCAATTCTTTGAACACTTAAGCTAACTATGGAAGTGCATTAAAATACTAACTAAAATATAAATTCACTTTAAGTAATCTTTTTATACATTTTAAGATAGCCTAAATAAATATTAAGATGATGAATTTCACAGATAAATTAATAATTAACTTGGGTTATTTTATTCAAGAACAACCATTGTGTTTGGTAAACAAACTGTTAATTATACTTAATTTAGTAATATTTTGAAAATTATTATCAATGAGTTGGTCTGTAGATTAACTATTTGACTAAAAATAATATATTTCTTTTTCGGGTAGTTCTAAATTTTTTCATCCTAATAGCTAAAGTTTAACTATGATGAAAATTAAGTTCACGCCTCAGGCGAAAGCGGTTAACAAAAACTCGTTCTTTGCAAGTTTAAGACGCAATTGGGGACTTGAAACACTAATACATAGAATGAATGGAGACAGCTTGAGCCTGCAAAATCCTTTGGGTAAAATGTAGTGTGGTGCATGGTCTTGGTCCTTTTCAAGCCTGTTACTCATTTTCAACCAAATCTTTAAATTTAATTTCTATTTTCTATATCTAATTTCTAAAGGTCTCTCTCTATTTTCCTAGAATAAGGAAAGTGTATTTGTATCATAATAGTGTAGTGACGATTAGTTCTAAGGTAAGAGTATTTACAGGAAAAGTGATGATTTGGGTAACAAAACTTCTTAGGAAAGCAACAAAATAATTGCAATCACCAAAATCAAAAATACCTACGTCTATAATACAACATTGTTTTATGGCATTAATATAGCATTCACCAAGATTTATACATAATCCAAAAGGACAGCCATAAAAAGTGTCTAGGTAGTCGTTTCAACATCCATAGTGATAACAGTCTCTTTAAACCCTGCATTTGCCTGTCCACATCGACTGACTGCCCGTGCGTTGAGCGGGGTAGCGGATTTTTATCCCCCTGGAATTTTACCCCCTGAGCATAACTGACGTCACAAACCAGGGGGTAAAATTCCGCCCGCCAACAGACTTTAGAGCGCCCAGGTTATAGTCATAGTGACGTCAGCTTTGTCCAGGCGATAAAATCAATGAATACAGACAAAATTCCGGCGACCCCGTGGAGCGTAGGCCTACCCAGCAACGCATGGGGTGAGCCGGTACAGTACGAAGGTAATCTGTACTTATAAAATGTTTGCGGCAGTGACTAGGATCCGAACCCACGACATCGCTACCTTGGGCCCAGAATCTGTGACACTACCAACTGAGCCAACACCTCACCAATATTATTTTATAATTCTATTAAATTGTTATATAACTTCAGAGGTAGAAAGTTTTGTAAACAACTAAGTATATCAACGATCAATCAATGTATATCAAAATGTGATAACCTAAATACTTAATTATCAAATTAATTTATTGTGAATAAAACAAAGTTCTTTTGTACAGAGAAAACTTAATACTCATCTTTATCAAGGGACTGCTTAGCTCAAATAACATATTTATGACCCTTATCGTTTAATCCTTTTATCATACGATTAGTTCAAATTGTGAGTTTGATCGATAAGTTAAACAATACACAAAGCTTCTTTAATTCTCATCTGTATTATTTAAATAATTTTAAATTGACCTAATACTGTAAGCATAAATTTGAATTACCTGATTCAGTCCAGATAACAGTGTTAACTATAGTTCGACCGCTTAGAAAGCGACCTCCTCCAGCATTGGTTTAGCATTAGCGCGCAGGTCGTTTTCTAAGCGGCCGAACTATAGTGAGTAGAGTTGTTTTTGTTGAAACGTTGAGTTACTAATAAAAATAATTGATCTGAATGTATTATGGATGCATTACAATACAATTTTGTTAAATACCCTTGTAGTCCAGTCAGCAGGTAGTTTTAGATGGAAAAAGGTCGGAAGTTAATGAAACTTAGGGATGTTGTTCAGGGATGTTAAATCAACATTTTCCCAAGTTTTGGACCTCGAGGACCCTGTGGAAAAAAATGGTGGCGGAAAAACTTTAAAATTTTGGACACTTTTTTGCTTTTTTGTCAATAACTTTTTTCCCTTACTTCCTACCGAAAAAGCATACCTTGCACTTTTGTAGAGCATTAAATTTCTTACAATTCTACAGTTCAAACATGTTTGTACGATAATTTGTTACCGAGCAATGGTATTTTTATTTTAATATATTTTTTTAAATACACCAAAATACGCAAAAAGGCAGATTTTCTACTTATTTTTTCTGTTGCACGCAAATTATTACAAAATTTTGTAGTAATTATCGTTCCAGGTTATAAGCACCATATCCAGATACTACCCCGCACTCAGCTGATCAAGGTGGCTTTCTACACCCTGGTTTCACACTACCACAATATTACATTATCTTCTATGTATTATAAGATATTTCACAATTACAATTGATTAATATGTTGTCACTATCATCAAAACATCCATCAGTCTGAAAGGTTTCTTTTCTGTCTTCACTAATCTTTGCTCACTAATTAGTAATTTTGCCTTATATACTCTATCGTGTTGCTTACAGTTATATATTGGTTTTAGTCTCGTTTGGTTGGTATAGTCTACCTAATATGCTCCTCACGCGGGCTATGAAGAGCTATGGAGGACTAACTCGTGGACGCGGAGTAAGCGATTTTGTGCTTTCTAGATGTGCATTAGGCACGCTGTGTCTTCAAAGCATTTGTAAGCAAGTAGAATTTTTCGCTGATTTTCGCTCCTAGAGACATCATCTGAGCAACATTTAGACACGGGACCAACCCGTGTAGTGTCACTGAACATCCCTAATTCCTAGGAGATAGTTTCATTGAGCACAGGAATCATTGGTCATGTTGACGTTAACTGCCACTTCGCACGAGAGATAAGCATATCATGCATGAAGAAAAAAATTGATGAAAATTTTGAAGAATTGAAACTCAAACGGATGGACAAGGCGGTGATTCTCACTTCTGTTTCATGCTCGTTGAAAATTTCTGGTAAAAAACTCACTGTCTATCCTCTCACTCTTTTCCAGCGTGTCTGCGTTACAAAAATATTTGAGTAGTATGAAAATAAGGTTGTTTGAACTCGTCCCCTTACATACCCATATCAATCTTTATCGAGGAAGGAATGTGCAAGGGAACAAAGTCTGTAATGTACTCAATCTTCATTCCTATATAGAAAGTAAACCGTGTCAACAGTAAATATAACGTAATTAGAGGTTACATAAAGTGGTGTGGAACAAAACTCCTACAAGCATATGAGGACGCCGACGTGATGATCGTCAACACCGCCATATCCAAGGCTAGCGAATATATATATATATAGAACACACTTGACAGCATTAGGAACTACATAATACAAATAACTTAATAAAAAGTGGAAGAGGCACAAATCCCAGTGTCCTCTACTCTCCAAGTTTCTGCTCCTTTCCTCCACACAGCAAGTGGTTTCGATAACACCTCAGCTGCGAAGAGTAACTAATATAAAATACCAACAAGATCTGAATATGGTTTGTTTTGATCGGAGAACAAAACAAAATTAGCATTCGAGAATTGGGGTTGGGTTTGGAAAAGGTGGGTAGTATGGTGGGGGGAGTGGAGGGAGGGTGTATCCAAATAATGGTGCTTATAACTTGGAACCATAATTACTACAAAATTTAGTGATAATTTGCGTGCAACAGAAAAAATATGTATGAAATCTGCTTTTTTTGCGTATTTTGGTGATTTTTTTAAAAATACATTAAAATAAAAATACTATTGCTCGGTAACAAATTATTGTACAAACATGTTTGAACTGTAGAATTGTAGGAAATTTAACGCTCTACAAAAGTGTAACGTATGCTTTTTCGGTAGGAAGTAAGGGAAAAAAGTTATTGACAAAAAAGCAAAAAAGTGTCCAAAATTTTAAAGTTTTTCCGCCACCATTTTTTCCACAGGGTCCTCGAGGTCCAAAACTTGGGAAAATGTTGATTTAACATCCCTGAACAACATCCCCAAGTTTCATTAACTTACCACGCCTGTTTTTTCTACCTGCCGACTGGACTATTGCTACAATAAGAGAGCAAAATTGTGGATTTACCAGTCATAAATAAATTTGTTCTTTAAAATTATATAATTTTTTAATAGACTTAGTAAATGGACAAAAAAGGATTTATTCTATGGATTTGAACAGCTTTTTTCTTTTAAAAATTTTTTTTCTAGAGAAGATTTAAATACTCCCGCCACAGCAAACCTGCAGACTAAGGGAATTTCCATTTATCGCTGGATTTCTACTTAAATATCCCCTTAAAATTTTCAGATTTATTTCGTATTTAAAGAACATTTATTTTAATGAGTACTTAGGTTTGCTGCTACAGGGAAGGAGGGAAGGTATTGAGGTGTTTATTGAAATGTTGATAGCTTCGAATGAAGTAAACAAAGCAAACTACAACAGTTTTATCGAATTTCCCCTATAGGGAATAAGCTATTACCGTAGGTCTCATGGTACCTAGACCTGGGACCAATTTACTTTTTCGTTTTGAGGTCCCCAGAGGCCATAAACACCATCTGTTCAAATTGATATATATATATATATATATATATATATATATACTAGCTGTAACCCCCGTTTAACTTCTTAATTTTCAAGATGATCTCGTTCGCATGGCTCAATCACGTCCTGGTTGAAGTTCGTTCGCTACGCTCACTCACCTTTAGGTTGGAGCTCGTTCGCTACGCTCACTCACCTTTGGGTTTGAGCTCGTTCGCTACGCTCACTTGCCTTCAGGTTAGCTCGTTCGCTACGCTAACTCGCCTCCAGGTTGAAGTTCGTTCGCTACGCTCACTCACCTTTTCGTTGCAAATTAGCTGTTGTCATAAATGTAAAAGAATTAATAGTGCTGCACCCTGTTGGTAATCCTTGTAACTTTAATGCTATTGAACATCATAGAACAGAACCAACTTGTTTAATTGAAACAGCTGTTAAGATTCATTAATTCCATTTCTCATAAGGTTAACATGGGAAACTCCAGAGCCACTGGGGCGGAGCCGATTGGACGGATCACGAAATTGATGGTATATAAACCTATTCCATGACATTCTACACGTATGTACCAAGTTTCGTGGCAATCGGTTCAGCGGTGTCTGAGTTTATCACTGCCAAACAAATATATATACAAACATCCTCTTTTATACTTATAGATAGGGTGTATACAGGGCGTCCCGTAAGTAAACAGCCAAACTCCGGGAAATGGTTCTATGGTTCAAAATAAAGAGAAAATCAAGAATAACATTTTTTCCCAAAATCGCTTCAATAACCAGATATTCGCCATTTTGTTTTTTTCACATTAACATTTTTATCTTTAAAGTTTTTTAACTGACCATTAGGAAACTTGGTATGTATGTTAAGGTAATAAGTTAGAAAAAAAATTCATCTTGATTCATAATAAAATTTCAAAATGGCGGCCATTTTAATTTTGTAAACTTAAATAAAAAAATGGCTGATTTTACAAAAAAATGACCAGGACACTTTTATTTGACATTTTTAATTCCCTATCAAAGGATATCAACCTCAAAAAGATTGGATAAGAAATAGCTGAAATATTAAGATTTTTAGTTGTAAAATGGGGCAAACCTGACTAGCTTAGCCTTTTTCTACATAGATAATATATTTCTGAGTTTGTTTGAATATTAAAATAATTGTTTTTGTATTATTGAGCTTTTTATGTATTTAGTGATATATATGAATTTGAACGGAATGTGCTTAATAGCTTATTAAAATATATGGGAAATTAGCTAAAAAAATGATTTTTGTGAAGTCATTAACTTGAGCTACAGACCGTTTCACCGTGCTTGGCGTGTAGGGGAGGCAGTGCGAGAGAGACAGAAAATCTCCCCCACCACACATTCCCTCCAGCCATCAAGTACAGTCCACTCCAATACGAATACATACACTGCTGTAGCGGTTAATCACATATTCATCCAAAAAACATGTGTAAAAATTTCTAAAGTTCATATTTTCATAGCAGCTGGAAAAAGACAAAACAAAATATAAACCGTAGATTATTTAAATTATATGTTTGAACACTATATCAAATATCCTCACACCTTTTGACTTGCAAAGTCAAAATATTAATTATTGATGCACGTATCTTCCTGGTGGTCTATTTCCCCCCCCTTTGAGTGTAAAAAAGGTTGATCATGTTCACGTTCGACTCCTTCAGCACTTGTTCTGTACTAAACCATGATGCCATGTTTTGGGTTTCTCGTCATAAATATTTATTTTATTCATATTACCTGTTACTTATATGTATTTTCTTGTTCCTTATTAAATGCTTAGTAAATTTATGTCTTTTTTTATTAGTGCCTAAATATACTTAATCGCCCGTTAAGTTAACAACAGGTCTCGTAACCTTGAAAATAAGTTTTACTTGGTATTGTTTGTACTTGAACACATAGCCGATACCTATTAAATCTCACGGAAAGGTAGCGATTTTTTTTAAGATAGCCCTTTTTATCTACCTTCATTGAATATATAGTTTTATAGGCTTGGGTAAATTTATAAATTTCTTAAGCCACGTTTACGCTAAAGTTGACAACCAAAAGTTTACAACTAAACGGACGAAGAAGATGCAATCCATACCGCGGCAGCTTGTGTAATTATAGCCAGCCACTATAAAAATGAGGTCCGCGAAGATATTAGGTGAGACCCTCGTTGATGGCTAGGGATAGGTACAGTAGCAGTGACATGCTGGCTGATCTCCGAGATGACGTCGATCCGTTGAGTGGTGAGCGTAAAAACGTTCATGAGAATGACAACTATTGATTTGAATATAACATTTTTTATGATCGGACAAAGTCAAGAAAAGTGACAATAACTTCAGGAAAGCCATAACTAACTGTCCAAGAAAAGCTAGCCTTGACCTACGTTTTTTGGCTATTGGTGATTTCAACACTAGTCTCGGTTATTTGTGTAAAATTTCAAAATCAACCATTTCCCTGTTTGTGTTTGAAGTTTGTGAGGCTTTGATAGAATAGTTCTCTACTAGTTTTCCACAAGTTGTTTGCAAAAAGCGCGTAGCAACTAGTATGCCACATTTTGTTGTAAACTTTCTTTGATCTTTATCGACTCTCCGCAGGAAACCAATATTTAGTGGAAAACTTGTCTCTCCACTAGTGGATGACAGAAAAAGTCGTCCACTGGTTGAGGGACAAGTTTTGTGAAAAGCTACAAGTTTCCGCAACTAGTGGAAAACTTAGTGGAAGACTTTGGTGTAAACGCGGCTTTAGGCTGTTTTAATGTCTGTAAAACTGCCTAAGGCCCCTTTTATTCACCGCGGTTGCCCGCCAGCGGGCGCCCGCCGAGGTTTTATAAATGCATTGCCGTAAATGGGTGCTTTTATTGAACTCAGAATTTGCGGGTACCCGCGGCGGTTTGTAAAATCACCCGCTTGCACTTAGAAACCGCCGGCGGGTAGCGGTTCGTATATGCAATGTGTCATATGGGATCGTTTATTCAACGCGGGTGCCCGCCGTCGCTCTCGCATTGCTGCCAACCCAAGTCACCAGTGTCACTCACTACACGTGGTCTAGTCATTCGGCAGCACTGGTTGGTTAGGTTGGCAGCTCTGTTACACTATCCACGTGACAGCGGTCGATCGCAGGTGACACATTGGTGCATGGCGGGCAACCGCAGTGAATAAAAGGGGCCTAAAATGGCATGACATTTTAAAATTTTTTTATGGGCACCTAGGTAGTTAAGAAAATCGTTCAAAAGCTTTGATTTAAAACATGAGACTTGTGCTATGTTTCTCGCAGAGGCTATAATACAAATAAAAAACTCTTAAAGCCATCAGTCGAAACATATATATTATTTACGGGGTATAAGCGTATGTGGTGGAATAAAAACATGTTTAGTATTCTTTTACACACACTTTAGTCACAGATAGTACTACTTAGCACGTACATATAATACATTTTATTTGGAGGTCGATGAAAAGATGTTAGCTTTTCTAGACCTCACATAATATGTCCCTGTTATCATCTTCACTGTCATCGCTTCTATCTATCATTTCAAAGTCCTCGTCATCACTTGATTCCACTCCAAGATTTATAACGAATGATTCGACAGTATTTTGTAGTTGAGCCTGATTTCCGAAAAAATTGTCTTCGAATTTCTTCACATTTTCACATTTCTTTTCCCAATCAACAACAGTCATTGAATCAAACTTGGCTTTTGTCAAACGTTCGACATCATTGAATTTGAATGTCACATTGTGAGATGCTACCCAATTTTTCACATCTGCCCAGATTAGTTCTATCGCATTTAGCTCAGGATGGTAGGGAGGGAGCCTAAGAACGTCAAAACCACGAGCTTTGAACATATCGTCGATAAGGTATCGAATATTAGCAGGCTTGTGTAGCTTTATCAACTCGTACAACTGCACTTTCAACATATCATCCGTAAATTGAATGTTTTTGCCATTTAACCACTGTTGCATGTCCGCTTTAGTAGAGTTAGAAGTTGGACATTTATCAATTTGCTTGTTGTGGTAGGACGCGTTATCAATTATGACAACAGACCTTGGTGGTAAATTGGGTAGTAACTTTTCATTCAACCACTTAACATACGTATCACTATTTACATTATCGTGATAGTCCCCCGTTTTTTTACTCGCTTTCCACATTGTCAAACAGTTGGGAATAAACCCCATTTCCCCACCAGCGTGTAAAAAGATTAGTCTTTCACCTTTGGATATAGGCGCTGCTACACCTGCTGACACGAGTGTGTCGTCGCTCCATCCCTTTCCTGACACATGTGCTGAATCAATGTACGACTCGTCTGTAAACACAATCGGACGGTTTTCTGCTCGAAACTCTCGAATCTTTTTTAAGTAAACAAATCGTTTATAGGCCACATCTTGCGATTCCATAAGAATATGTTATTTGTTGGTTTTAGTTTTCTTCCATCTGTATCCAATATTTTTCAATATTCTTCTTACACTGGATGTAGACCCTACAAATCCTAGATCATTTTCTAATTTCATTTTTATTTTCTTTAGAGTTGGAAGGCATTTTTCAGTCAAATAAAATGTGTTTACAATTCTACGTACAACACCAACATCAAAATCGTCAAGACCGGTAATTCTTCTTTTTAATTTTCTTTTTTTATTTGGGGTTTCAAAGCTGGAGTTTGTTTCTTCCAATTTTCTTTTCTCCGCACTTAGCCGTGTTAAAGTCCGTTTTGAAACTCCACAAGCAGCCGACACCCTATCTCTAACCTTTTTGGGATCAATCATAAACCTTGATTCCCTTGCCTCCAATTCCATAAAACTCATAACATTCGTAATTACTTCACGTGTCTGACCTATTAGCACTTTCCCTTTCAATTTAGACTTGAACTCAACCGGCACATCCATCTTCACAATCAATCACAAACTTACAGGAACACTAACAAAAATACACTAGAGTGGGAGAACTATATTTGAACCACACTTGTGGGAAAATAAATGGGTATACGAATAATAAATAAATTGTAATAATAAGTAATAATATAAATTGGAAATACAACTCTTCAAAGCTTTCTATGACTTACTTATCGAACATCTCAACAACAAAAAAACGAACCTTCTTTCTCCATTTAAAACCTTAATCCAACTCTACCATAATCTCCATAAATGTGAGATTCCTAACTAAATCTTCAACTGAAGCCACATAACTCTGTAGCCAAACATGATTGATAATAATGCACAGATGAATTGGTTGGATGGAGATCAATTTGTATATTGTTTGTTATCCCAGTTTCTAGAACTTGAATTATTAGATTACCTTTGTTGTCTTTGTCTGTATTCTTGAGTAGGTAATTAAGATGTTTGTTTTGCCCTATGGATTTCACCAGCTTGTGATGTGTTCACCAGGAAATGTGAAATCCGAATGCTTCTGCCATTTTGGAAACCTCACATAACATAAAGATTTTTAACATTTAACAAATGGTTTCCGGGGACGGAATACAGGACTGTACTTTTTAACCGTCACAGGAGCCAGCTGGAGAACACCGGTTGTAGATTCCATACAACTTATTTGAGCTGGAACAAAAATACAAGGTAAATAAAAATAAACCACTATTAATATTACTCTTTTTGTTTTTGGCAGAACATAAGTTCCATTAGGTAGAGTGATAAGTGACAAAGGACATCCTTTTACAGCACCACGAACAAAAGCACAGAGTAATGAAAGCAACTGCAACCAGAATAAATTATTTTTTTAAATACCCTCCAAATAGGTGGATTGATTTATTTGTCTTTGGAGTATTTTTAAAATAAATTTTATTTTTATTTGACTTTGGAGTGTTTTTAAAATAAATTTCATTTTTATTTGATCAATTTGATGATTTGATTATAAAACAACCATTTCCAAAAACTTGTTTACAAACTTTTATTTTCCTTTGAAATTTGTAGTTGTTTATAGAAACTAAAAATGCATCCTACATTGTAGGGTTAAAAGAGGATTTTTAACTGAAACAAGCACAATAAGAGGATGAATGGAATTACACTCAGGATTTACAGCTTTATGACAGCATAAACTCAGATTCACTTATCTTTGGGCTACTTCTTAGTGTCAGACCTTCGCTGTATTATTATCATTGCTCGCTTAGTATTATCAAAGTCTAATCTGTTATCAAAAGCACTGTTGTAGATGCCGACACAATAAAATTTCTCAGAATTATTTAGTACACTATTACTTGAATACTGATAATGAGACTTATTCTTTATTGTTTTGTTTAGTCATTGTCTTCTTATGTTTTAATTCTTATTTTCTCCCCCTATATAGTACATAGTACATTGTACATTGAGAAAGTAGCTATTGTTTTAGTCAAAATATTTTAGTTTTAGTTTTTGGTGGAAAAATCCATTTTAAGTCCTTCTGAATTCAAAAAGTGGTTTTTGAAGTGAGTTCTGGACGTGTATTTGGGGATGTGTACAGAACTACAGACTACACCTTTGATCCGATTTTGATGATATTTGGTAGTCCGTATGGGGAATGTTGCTGGAAGTCAACAGTCCCGGAAGATCAAATAATTTATACCTGTGCCGCTAGGTCAAAAACTACAATGTTTGCAGTGTCTGTAGATCAAAAGTCCCAGTAAGTCAAATAATACAGTCCGAGCTAAAAACGTGGTCTATGTTAAAGCAATTGACTTATTGGGAATTTGACCTAATGCAACAGCAGTTTTAATATAACGAAATACGCTAAAATACAAGTTCAGTTTCGCTGAGTCAACAGTGCCGGAAGATCAAAAGCAATAAAAGTGAACGTCGATTCAGTGTAAAGTAGACCTCCTGCAACGCTTACTACACCATCAAAACTCGCTTTTAGCACAGAAAACGTACTACTATACCCAGAATGCCAACCGCATGGTAAAAAGCATTAAGCGGTTTGAGAGAGCTTTGCCTGTCAATCCGCAGGCAGCGCCACCAGCGTTGCCATGCAATAGCATAGCAACGCTGGTGGCGCTGCCTACGGATTGACAGGCAAAGCTCTCTCAAACCGCTTAATGCTTTTTACCATGCGGTTGGCATTCTGGGTTATAGTAGTACGTTTTCTGTGCTTTTAGTTACTTCGTGTTTTGTCATAATTAGAATAGAGCTAAAATTATCATATTTGGTACATAGCTTATCTATTAATGCTTCTTGCCAACTGTTTGGTCAACACTGTAAATAGGTATAGCCTTTCGTCAAAATGTCTGGTATAAAATACCCGCAAGAACGATCTGAAAATTTCTGGTTATCATATACGTTTGAAAAAGGATAACCATTTAATTGTAGAACTATTTTATGAGTTATAATGTAGTCTACATATAAACTGTGTAAATGTATTACGCCTCGGAAGGGTTGAAACCTGTCCAAACTATCATATATATTATTAAAACGTAAATGGGTTTTTTCACGATTCTGAATCAACCAGACGATGGATTTTCATTAGTTTTGTGTTGAAAGAAAGACAATTTTGAGAACTAGGGAATTTCAAAGCTATAATTTAAAATTAGTGTCCCAGTTTTTTATAAATTAAGTTTTAGTTTTTAAAAAGTCTAGCAGCCGATGCTAACCTTCTCCAATAAGTCAATGCTTCTAGCTAGCTTTTAGTACAATACTAGCTGTACCCACGGGCTTTGCCCCGTTTTACTTCATAAGTTAGCTCGTTCGCATGGCTCAATCACGTCCTTTTTGGTTGCAAATTAGCTTTACGGTAGTCATAAATTAAAATAAAATAGTGCTGAACCCTGTTGGTAATCCTTGTAACTTAAATGCTATTGCACATCATAGAACAGAACCAACTTGTTTAATTGAAACAGCTGTTAATATTCATTAATTCCATTTATGAGTACTCATAAGGTTAACATGGGAAACTCCAGAGCCACTGGGACGGAGCCCGAGAGTCGGATCAGAATAAAAATAGCTTAGTGTTCCTATTTAATGCCTTAAGAATCAGTGTACCAAATTTCAGCCTCCTAGTTACGCCTCTTTCACACGACGCGGCGCGCGCCGTGCGGCGCCCGCCGGATCCGGCGTAGGGCTATGGGAGTATATGAGTCCTTTCACACTATGTGCGGCGCGCGCCGCGCGGCGAATTCGCCGCACGGCGCGCGAGTTACCGCCGGATGCACCTTCAGCCGGACGACAGCGCCGCGCGGCGTCCACGCCGCACAATTCGGTGAAGGTGCATTGGTTCTTATGGGAGCTTTCACACGGTGCGGCGCGCGCCGCACGGCCCAACCCCTACGCTGTCTCAATTTAGGCAAACTATATATCGTATATATCGAAATTATATATCGTTGTATCGGAAAATAATATATTTATTAATAATATATATTAGGTTATTACAAAACATATATTTTTATGTTCATCCCATGCAAATCGGCCAACTTAAAGTATCAAAACAAAATTTTTCCTTTAATAAATACAGGAGAATATTTAGTATTAAATTAATAATTTAGTAATTTATACGCAATGAAACATTTTTTTTAACCTCTAGAATACAATATTTTCAGATATGACGAATACTTATATATAATACGTGAAGGCGATTTCTACGAAATACTACTCCTCCGTTAATAATGGACGGATTTTTACAAACCATGTGTCAAAATTAAGTATTTATTGTGTTACACGCCCCCTTTCACCAATTCCTGTACTAAAAGCCCTCGGGCTTTGCCCCTCAGGCCATAAAAATCCCAATGTATATCTTATGAAGACAAGATTTTGTTTAGTTAAACGGACAAATAATTTGTATTAATTACAGCTGTTCATAGTACACACATGATACACACAAGAGTTTTCGTTTTCAGTTTCGATAGATGGAGTGGAGTGAGCGTTCGTTTTCAGAGTGAGTTCGTTTCCAGTTTCGATAACTGGAGTGGAGTGATTGGTTACATTATCTTTGAGTTGACTCTCATACGTCAACGGAAATTGTGACAATTATTCGTAAAAAAACTCCTTTAATATTTTGCAATTGCTCAAATTCGAGCAACAGGTGCACTAGTTTATTATATTTAAAACTAGCCCATTCATTTTATTTGAACTTCTAAGTGGAGTATTCATTTAAATGCCACAACTGAAGAGAAAATAATAAATATTTAGGAGTGCCGTACGGCGCGCGCCGCACGAAACCGCACTAGTGTGAAGACACACGCTTGTCCGGCGTAGCGCCGCGCGGCGGACGCCGTACGGCGCGCGCCGCTTCGTGTGAAAGAGGCGGTAAATGGGAAGTGGGAGAATTAGTGATGAGTGAGTGAGTGAGTGTGTCAGTGAGGGCTTTGCCTTTTATATAATTTCTTTATATCAGCTGTCTGAAATTGTGAAATATGCAGTTTAGCAGTTCTTCTTGTTTACATTTAAATGTCAAAGCAAATGTAAACAAACATTGTTAGTGTTCTCATCGCAGCCATGGAGACCAATCAATATTTACTTTTAAAATCTTCGCCTCAGAACTTTTAAAGCCAAAGGGGCAAAGCCTACGGCCAGTATCGAAATTTGAATAGTCCTATAATGGTCCTTGGTATGGTAACTATATTTTTGTAAACTTTTAGCCAAGTTGGTTCAGTAGTTTTTGCACCTATTAGTAACACACATACAGACAGACACCATTAGATTTTTATATAATAGTATAGATAATTTGCTTAACATAACAGCTGTAACATTCAGCATTTGTGACACAAATTCAGCATTTGGAAGAAAATTTAAATACATACTTATGGTTGGCTTATTTATACTATGTGTAATGCTGACCATTGATACATTTAATTCTTCGGTACGAGGATGGCAGATTAATTAAATATGCATAGTAAAATACAGTAGTAGGATGTTCAAATTATTTTTTAAAGTATTCTTTGTAATCATCGATTCGTTTTAGTCCAAAATAA